CGTAGTTTTGAGCACTCATGCCAAGAGTTTGACACGCTACAAGATCTAAGTTTAACATTTTGTTTGACATCTCCTTGAGGTTTTTTTTCTGGTATGGTGAGGTCTACGGTATTGTGCATATGCTCTGTTCTTTTTACCACTTCACCGGAGATGTAATCAAACAGAGTTTAAGTGTGTGCAAATGCGCACGACTGTTTTTATATTACTTTCTAAATCAGGTTTGTTGGAAATAAATCTTGTACCAAGTCCACTGAGATACTTACTTTGCAGTGTGCGGAGACGTGCACTGGACAATGCGACGCCAAAAGAATGTTTTTATTAACTCGCTGCTTTAAGCTGTTTGGTGACTTTGTAATTTTAGTGCTAAGTTCTACTACTTGTTGTTCAGCTGTTTGTTGCTTAGCTGTGTTGAGGCAAATGGAGCCTTGCCCGAAGACATAATTTTACTCGGCATTTATAGAATAAGATTTCATCATGGTTGCAGCATTTGCATTCGAGTACAGAGTGATAGCACTTCGTAGTAATGTGTTTGCAACCATTTATAAGGGTCCACAACTGTCGTCTGAATCTACATCTGTAGGATAAGACTTCCCGTCTAAGACGCTACGGTACATAGTGAATAGTTGCTCAGTGCCAATGACGCTCCCTTTCAGAGACTAGGTCACAACTGGAAGTATATTCACGTGTATCTGCTGCATTAAGATGATTTCTAGTGTCTGTCAGACGGACACTGGGGAGTACAGTCAACGTTGAGAATTTAAATTGCTGCTTGTAGTGCACTGTTCCACCAAGGATCTCTGGATTGTGCACAGATCATGAGAAGAGATCGATAATAATAATAATAATAATAATAATAATATATTTCATGCGACAAAGGTTACATGAATACAAACCAGTTTACAGGTTTGATCACTTTGGTAATGGGAGATAACTATTATGTACAATGTTATGCTATACATTAGATGCTGTGATTTATGGCATATAGGAGGCATGTTGAAGCAGGCTCAGTTCGAATTTGAAGATTATCCGGTCATCGTTTGAATCATCCAACATTCTTGAAGGTGAGGCCGCATCACATTCATGACCTTGGGGTGTGCGCGTTCGTCATCAGGTTTCGGTGCCAATATTTCCCACTGACGAATGCGATTTGTAGGATTCCATTTGAATGCAGGACTGGTTAAGTAAATCTGAAAAGTGAATAACAAAAGCGAGCAGCAGGCGAAATTTGTAACAGGGGCACAAAAATACGCAGGAGTAGATCGACCATGATACATCTGGGTGAGTTTGTACTGACTATTAAACTTACTTGAGGAAGTGTCCAGAACCAACTGTTTAGAGGTAAGCTTAGGTGGAAGAAGATGAAGGTGCGCACGACAGTAATGAAAGTCAGCCTGAAGCTGAAGATATCACTACGAAATAGAAGGATTAGAGGATATTTGACCAGGTATTAACTTGTTATATACCTATGTACAAGCGTATGATGAAGTTATAAACATTTAGGTGAAATTCGTGGTTTTTTTCTTGTTCTTCGGACCACCGCCCTTTATCTGGTTACGAGGGGAATGATCATGGTGTTGCCTGTTGAGCATTACCATATCGGGTCTACCGACACTATGTTGGTGCAGAGTACTTAGATGTAAGGGCAAATAATAAAGAGTCGTATGCTATGAAAATGCACCGACAGACAGTTCTTTTATCTTTTCGGAGTGGAGAGTTTACTTTAAGATTGGCCCATATTTCTGTTTATCAGAGAGGGACGGTGTAGTTTTAAAAATCGAATTGCACCTATTGCTCATCCGTGTAACATTTAGATAAATAAGGTACCTGCTTGATTTTCTAGCCATTTTTAATAAGTACAATAAGCCTGTAAAATTCCGACCTCGCTTAGGTAAATAGTTCACTAGTTACTGGCCAGGCACAAGCCCGGATAAAGAGGGAAGGTTGGGCATGGCGCAAGCAAGCCTACCCCAGAAAATCAATCCAATGGCTGAAGAAACTTTGACGCACAAAAAATACATGAAATAAGAATAAACTTATACCCTGTTAGAATCGGAGAGGAGAAATGACGCCGGTTGGTGAAAGACTTCGGGAAGCCAACTGGCAGATGTGTCTTCTCTTCTTACGTTGAAAGCAAAAGTAAAAACGTTATTGCTGGTCAATAAATCTACGGACATAGGAACTACTGTCAAAATAGACGTTAATCTGATGAAACACTTGGTCTTGTAGATTGGTCAATCATGTCGAATACTCACAACGTAAACACCAAACGTTGCACCGTTTGATGTGAAGAAAGAATTGCGAGCAGGAGTGACTTAAACTCACAACTATGTGTATGTACTGTAAAGTGACATCTTCCTGCCACTTTCATAACATTTAGACACTTGGCATCATGAAAGAGTTTAATGTCCTCCCTCTGTATCATTCAACACTGCTAAAACCCTTTATGTTTCTCTGCAATCATTGATTTGATGAGGCCTGTAAACTGGCTTCTCTCATGTTAACTTCATAACTTGAGGACAAAGATATTTATTCTATTTTATTTTAATTGTTATACAAGTGCTAGGAATCTGCGGAAGCAGATTGAATGGAAGTGGTCTCTCCCGACCGTCAACTGGAAGGTCAATAATCTCCGATATTGCCACCGGGACGACAACCACGGGCATGCTGAGTTTCCGAGTGGCTATCATGATGTCCTCAATAGCATCGAACACTCTTATGCAGTGGGAACCAATCTCCTCCTTCACCATCATGACAGCAAGATTCAGATCGAAAAGAAGGAAGGAAAGTCACAATCGCGTGGTCCTACGCGCCCACAAATAATGCAAACCAAGAGAAGAAGGAGAAATTGTGCAGACAACTGCAATCAGTACTGGACAAGACCCTACCTCAGTTGGCGGCATCAAAATTCTAATGGGTCAGGTGACATGAACGCGAAACTGGGAGCGAACGATACAGGAAAAGAACCAACCATGGGTCGAGAAGCACTCAGTGAAATGAACGAGAATGAAGAACTGTTTGCAGGTTTCTGCTCATTCAATGATTTGTTGATTGGAGGCAGTGTGCACAAGCACAAAGACGTTCACAAAGCGACGTGGATTTGACTTCACCTGATGGACACATTAAAAGTCAGATTGACTCCATCTCAACATGAAAAAAGTGGAGACGGCCTACTGGATACAAGGTCAGATCACAAAGAAGAGCAAATGTAAGCTCACACGACTCATTGTCTAGTGCAAGGAATTTACATTCAAGATCAAGATGAAAGCCTTCAAAGAAGTTGGTGATGATGGACGACAGTTCAAGTTCAACACCCAGAGCGGAAACTGAGGGAAAAGCATCAAAAGTTTGTGATCCACCATTCGACGAAAACACAAGCGACAATTTCAGCATCTATAACCTTAGTAGGTACTGCTTCTGACCACCTCGTTAGATGATCCACGCACGTGCGAAAGTAAGTGTATGCACTGGATTCTGGTAGAGGACCTACAACATCTAGATAGACGTGGTCGAAACGCATGCCTGATTCTTGAAGGGGAACCCAAAGGGCTTCCAGCGTTTCGTATGGCTTTACATTTCTGAGAAGCTACGGACAACCGGGCTCACATTTTGGCGTCTTTGCTCATTCTAGGTCGGCAGAAATGTTTTGCGATAAGCTTGATGGAGGTTCACGCACCTGGGTGTGTAGCGCATTGAAGACGATGCACCGATATCGCTTCGGAACTTTTGGGCATGGTTGACTGGTAGAGGCATCACGTAAACCTGTACCTTTCCAGTTTTAGCTTCAGAGTTGTGAACGACAACTCATGTTTCAGCTCAAAGTTTTCTTTCCGAAGACAAGCGAGTTGAACAGGATCAGCACCTTCGATGCAGTTTATCGAAGTTATTCGAGATAGTGCATCGTCTACGGAGTTATTTGCTGCAGGTACGTAGCAGATTTCTGCCGTGGACTGAGAATTGTGATCCAGTTGCCTCAACTCACTTGCAGAGTATTTGTCAGGTGCTGGGCCAAGAGAGAACCTTGGCTGCACGTGGTCTGTGAATGCGTTGAAGTCGTGACCCTCCATAGAATGTCGAAAATGGCTCATAGGACAGCACGTAGCCAGGAGTTTTCTACCAAATATGCTGTATCTTGTTTCCGCCTCCTGCAACTGCCCCGACGAAAGGGCTAGGGGCTGCCACTGGTTGTCGGTCGACTGTTGCAAAACCGCTCTGATTGCTGATTCAGATGCATTAATGGCAATACTCAGAGGGGCATTGGGATCGTGAGGCATTAGCATGGTTGCACTGAGGATGACCTCCTTGACCTTGTGGAAGGTAAGTTTGGCCAGGTTGTCGAGTGTCGTCACTGTATCGTTCGTCGAAGTATGTCAGTGAGTGGTCTCACTACGGGGACAAAGGAACAGACCTTCGGTAACGATTAACCAGTCTGGGAATCGTCCATGTGCTAACTCGGCAGGTGCACATGACGACCACTAATTATCCATATTTGTAATTTAACAAAGAATACGGGGCAAGGAGGGACACGGAGTGGTAGTCAGATGGAAGTAGTACATTTGAAGTGTCTTGCCAAAATACCTATGCATTCCATCTAACTGGCTAGAGGGTCGACCACAAGTAGTGCAACGTAACACGACAGCATGCGAAATGACGTCGGTTTGACCGTGTACTCACAGCTTAACGAATCCGATAGAACTGTGAAGGTCAGCATCAATGTTGAACCTCGTGGAACCCTAGGTTGTTGGTGTTGGAAAAGTATCTACCGCTCCAGATTTGTTATTATTACTGACTCGACAACCACCACCCCCAAGCTATAAGCGTGGAAGTCAAAAAGGCTTCTGTGACGACCAAACAGGCATAACCTACCAAATAGAACCAAACTTCAAGACATGCCATCGAGGGCTGAAAAACTGCAAATTTCTTCTTCTCTCATCACTGATATTGGATGTAGCAAAAATGATTAGATATTGGATCTCACCAAAGCTGAAAGCTGTACTGCCTATTTCAAAACGTACGCTACTGGTATAGTTTCTGGTGAAGACCCTCCCTGGTTGAACCCTAGACGTCCAACGTGCGAGTGAAGTGTTTGCTTACTGAGACCAATATTCGTTTCAAAAGACAAGTGTCTTGGTGTATGTGAGTTGGGTTATAAAAGACGTGTTAATAAAAGAACTTTCAAGTGCATTGCCCAGATCTGAGTGTTGTAACATAGTCGTTATGAGTTCTACGTATACAATTTGAGGTTTCGAAGCGTCTCCTAAGCGTATTGGCATAATTTTACGGATATCGTTATCATCAATGATTCGAGGTTAACCTTAACTCATTACAGTTGGCCTGTATTAATCCTTGCAGAAGATATCTTTGTGAAGATCTAGTTTTCACTTCAACGCTTTGACTGACAGTGCTGATACTACTGGCTGAGGTAAAGAGTTCTAGTTGTTGACCGCATGATGGGAGAAAAGCAGATTCACGTTAAGTTAATCCGATAGCCGAATTTGGATTTTCTTGTTATGCCCTTGGAAACAATCAGTTCTAGAGGGAGGGAAAAGATAAGACGTATGAGTATCGAAGTCATTATTGAGGGTATGGGATGTCCGTATGAGATCACCCTCTTACGATAAGACAGTGGCGGTAAATTTTGCCGACCCAGTCGTTTCTCATAGGGCAGATTTGATAGGCCTGTCACAAGCTTAGTACCTACCATGTGAACACGCTCGAGGACGTCAGCATCCTTTTTTAAGGCATGGGTGCCTTAATAAAGTATTCTAACTGAGGTCTAACGTGAGTGGAATAGAGTATTCTGAACATATCCTGATGAAAGCTTTTAAAAGTTCTGCTAATGAACTATAATACACGGAAGACCTTTAGTGCAGCTGCATCACGATGTGCCGAAGTTCTGAAATCGTGGCTTATGACAACACATAAGTCATTCAGTTCAAAGACTCGGAGTAGTGGTGTAACGGTGGAATACTGGAAACAATTTCTATGACCAATATTACTTATTGCACTTTGACTAGAGCTGACTTTCAGGTATCAACGTTAGGATCAAAGTCCCAGTTCATCTAAATCCGCTTGAAGTGCATACATATCAGCATCACTACATGTGACTTTTCAAACTCGGACATCATCGGCGAATAGCAGCACTGAAGAGTTGAGTATTTGCGGTAATTCTTTGACATATAGCAAGGAAAGTAGGAGATGTAGGATTGTTCCTTGAGGAACTCCACTTAGCATAGGTTCCAACCCAAACAGTATTCTATTAACCCTAACTCTGCCTTCTGTCGCACAGTAAGTCCATAATCCAGGCTTGCAACGCAGAATGAAACCCGAGAAGAGGTAAGCCTTCGTAGTAATTGCACTAGACACTTTATCTAATACCTTACTAAAGTCCATAAACATGTCATCTATTGGCAGCTTGCAATCACGGGCTGCAAGCCATTCTTCTCAAGATGAGGTTTATTAAACAAGAGTGTCCAGCAAGAAAACCGTGTTACTGTGGTGCCAAAAGACTATTTGATTCGATATAGTTAAGCGCCTTATCACGAATTATTTTCTCTGAAACCTCAATAACTTTTAGTTAGACTCATCACTATCAGCTGGCGACTACCGGCCTTAAAAACTGCTCTTATTTTGGTATGCTTCCAGTCTCTAGGGCATGGGGGGAGGCAAGTCTGAGATAAGGACATATTGAAAAGATCAGTGACTGACTCAGTAACAGTGTCCGCTGGAAAAGATAGCGATCCAGGATACAACTCATCGAGACCTGGGGATTTTCCAGGTTTAGAATTAATGAGCGACTATAAGACTCCTTTGTTGTGAACACTGTATCTATTGGTGGAACAGTACTGATATCACTGTTGAGCACTCCATAGTCATGGTCTACAGAATAGACTTCACTAAAGTAATCCAATAGACATTCGGCTTTGGACAGATTAGATGCCGCCAGACTACCGGACTTTACATTCGTCGCCACAGAAGGAATTCCACATTTTCTTTTAGTTCTCCTTCTGATGAATACGAACAGTCTTTTAAGACAACTTTGGCAATCCCTCACAAGCTGTTTCGTGTAGGACATTTGAGACTGTGTAATCAAAGTTTTGCGGAGATTACGGACTTTACAGTACCCAGCCTTAAATGTTTCCAGTCCAGTTTCTTTAAACAAGTCCCATAAACGTTTCCTCCGCCTTAGTAGTTTCTGAGTGTCTTTATTTAACCACAGAGGGCCATGTGAGGATCTTTGTGGAGTCGAACATGGAATACACGGCGTCGTTACCTCTTCAAATAGAGTCCTAAACCTATCCCATGCTTTCTCAATTGATGAGTCTTTGTCGATAAGCCAATCCCTACCTACTGCGCATTCTCTTATACTTGAAATGTCTGCGCGCCACACAATAGGTCTAGGGGAAGCAGTGTCATAATCAAACGCATATGTTCGAAAACCTAAAGTTAGCGCTACATGATCGCTGTTAGCTAACGAACGGGAAGTATCGCAGATCTATTATATCTTCACCCTGGTGGGTTAAGACGAAATCCAATGACGATGGCTTGTGTTAAAAATCGTATCGTGTTGCACAAGTTACGTTTTGAGCTAGTACCGCTAAAAGTAGATCAGTTTTGAAACAGCTGCCCGAGTCTAGGAGTGTAAGCTCCATCCAGTTTATATGCGGAGCATTCAGATCCCCAAATATTAAGCATCTGTTGCTCCTACTCCGGTTACGTATATGAGTTAGCACGAAGTCATTTGCTAGACAAGATGAACCACAGTAAATTGGATCAACAGTACAGAAACCTTGCTTTTACTTCAGCTCACAAGTGGCCACTTCACAGGTATCGCATTAATGGGCTTCTGGAGTGACTGATCGTTTGTGGATATCATCACGAACATAAAGTAGTATGCCGCCACCTTTGAAATGCACAATTGTATCTGTCCTTACACGCTAATACCCTGTTAGAAGTAGTGCAAAAGCTCAATCCTTTATTAGCCAGGTTTCAGTAAGGGCCACTACATCAGAACCTAGTTCACAGACTAACGTCTTTATGTCTGCCATTTTATTTCTAATGGTACGAACACACATAGATTACGTTCAGTGTTTTAAGAGTTCCATGACCCACTCACACAGGCCTTGGAAGCATCCTTTTCCAAGGCCTCAAAACCCGAAAACCCTCAATCTAAGGTTTTTTTTCTCCATTAACTTGTCAAGCCCAAAGTTCAGAGATCGCTACTCTTCTCTCTATCCGATTCTTGAGAGGCCAATCAGGTTGGATGCGGATGTCCGAATTTCGTAGTTTGGATGCGTCACTCAGGAGTGCATCCATTTATTCTTTGTTGCCTAAAACTATCCTTAAAATCCGCCTCTCATCGGGTTTGGAATTTCTTTTTTAAACCTAACCTGACTACTTTGGAAATCTGTACTCCTTCAGACGTTTCATGTAGGGTATGTCTGATAGCCGACTCGATCAGCTTCAAATCATTCAAATAACTCACTGAAAGGTCTTTGTACACTAACCCTTCAACATTCCTAACACACTGGACGTTGGTGCAAAATCCTTGGGTCGCCCGTTGACGGCCTCCGTAACTTTCTCTACCGGTTTCATAAGCTTACTAACTTCTGTGATAATCTTTGAACGTTTCTTCGAATTCTTTCTTGAAGAAATCCATATGAATTCATTGATCACCTTCTTAGCGTCAACACTGCTAACAAAAACGCTTTCAGTGAATCCTTGGGCATCATAGTTGGTGTACCAGTCACCCTCGGTTTCTTTTTACGTCGAGTATGCATTGGAACTGATGTAATCTCACCGATTAGATCACTATTATGCAGCAGTTCACCTTTAGGTCAGATGTATTGGCAATAACACAGTTTCATTATCTGATACCGCATTGGAATGACAGCTATCACTACCACACGAGTGTTGTTGACCAATAACATTTCGACAGCTTCCTGAATTAAGGCCGAAAAACGGTTACAGCAGAAGTCACATAATCGAGGAGTTGATTTACTGCAAAGCTCGCACACGGTTGGTGTCAATCCAGTACAAACTTTGTGGGACCAACATCCACATGCATCATGTTGCATACCTTCGTCGACTGGGAATTTGCACTTGGGTTGGCCACAAACATGATAATCGCTAACCACGTTATTCACTATTCAGTTAAAATTCCCACTAAAACCGTACTCGAACTGAAGTATTCAGTCAAGATTAGGACAGAAAGATAACACAAAAAGCAACCTTACGCCTTAAAATGATAAACTTCAAACGCTTGACTGAATTACTTCAAATCAGGGTTTATAAGAAGGCATTCGATTGTTGGCTTACACAAAAAAGGCCGAAAATTTCAAAAGCGTAGAAAAATTTACTTCTTGTTTTCAAAGCGCGAGCGAGTAAAATGCGAAACATAGTGAATTGTGCTTGGGAAGGTTGAAGCTAGAGGAAACTGTAGTGGAGGACCGTAACGATTCTGGTGTGCAAATCGATCGTATAACGTGAGTACAGAGGCGAGAGACTAATTGAACCATGTAGTAGTTGGTTCCCTCCGAAGTTTCCCTCAGGATAGCTGGCATTCTGAGAAATAAACAGTTTTTATCAGCTAAAGCGAATGATTAGAGACATTGGGGATAGAACATCCTCAACCTATTCTCAAATTCCATTTGTTGGCATGTTTTCAAAAACGTATAGTCCATTCATAATTTCCCAGCCTGTATTAATCTAGACAGTATAAATCTCCGGGAAGTTCCGGTTTCTCCTTAAAAGCGTTTATCGAAGGGGCAGCTACCACGCGTTTCGGTGATAAGTCCTAGCCGTCGAGCATCTTGTGAGAGTATCTGAGCTCCACTCGTAGTTTTTTTGGTGACCTCTTAGACAATCAGTCCAAGACCTAGGATTGATCATCTAGAAGAAGTAAAAAGATGAGATAATATAAGATCTGCCCTTTTCTTGTGATACGATAGTGGGAAAAGATTCGAACTTTTCTACCGCTTTTCGTAGGTAGATGCAAAAGTCCTATTACTTAGCATCCATCCTACATTGTCTGCTCCTTGCTTAAAGCAAGCACTAGCTGTCTGTGTGCAGTACACTAGACAAGGTCTTGCATAAGTCGAATACACTATCCTGAATATTTCTTCATCAAAGCTCTCAGAGATCCCACGGAGTAACCATAGCCTGCAGAATCCCTTGGCTAGAGCTGCGTTACACTGTGCCGTTATTTTCAAGTTATTGCTTATGGCAACCCCTAGTTCGTTTTGCTTCCTAACTCAAGGCAATATTGACCCATCTAGTGAGTAAGAGTAGCACGACTCTTGATCGATGTGTACTTCTAGAGTTAGTTTCCAGGTTTCAGAGTTTAGACTATTCAGTCAAATCATGTAGGTCAGTCTGGAATACTATCCTATCATAAACATGAACAACCCTCCAAACTCTAACATCATCAGTATATGGTCAGGTTGATGACTTAAGCATACCGGGTAGTTCATTACAATAGAGCAGGAATAAAAGAGGCCCTAGTGTAGTGCACTGGAGAACCCCACTAGTAACCGGTTTTCAATCAGATAATAATCCATTCGTTCGGATGCTTTGATTCCTATCATCCAGGTAGTGCTCAAACCACTCTTGGATGTTGACATCTATACCGAAACCTACCAGTTTCCTCTGCAAGCCCAAATGCTGTGCTGAAATCAATAAAAGCCACATCAACAGGCAGTTTATCTCTCTCTTCCACCCATTCTTCCCTGGCTAGAATCAAGTTTGTTAGGCAGGAGCTTCTGGGTTGCAACCCATAATACTCCTGTGCCAATAAGTTGTGTTTCCACATGACCCAGTAATTTGCCCCTGATTATTTTTTCTAATATTTTCACCACTAAAGTCAAAGTGACTGGACGATAGCTAATACCTAGTTGCCTATTACCATCCACATACAGCGTCTTTCTACTCTAGGCAGCCGGGCCTGGGACAGAAACACTAAATATCTCCGTTAGAGATTAGTGGATAATGTCAGCCAAAGTCAGTAGCAGTAGTCTTGGGTGTCGATCGTCAGGACCAGGTGACTAACCAGGTTTTAGATTATTTAACACTCTGAGCACTACTTCAACATTCATCAGAATAAAAGCCATTTGCGGGACCTCGTCCGTCGCCGAACTTAACATGTGTGTTACTATTTACCAAAAAGAACTTATTAAAGTAATGTCCTTGTTTAATTCCGCTAGGACATCTAGGTTTTCACAGGGAAGTAGATTCAGTTTTCCATCATACTTCCTGGTCCCGCGCCTAATATGTAAGTACACAAAACTAGTAATAATGGCATTTTCACGGTTGGTCCACGAAAATGCCGACGTATGCTCGCCAAAAAAAGGTGGAAACAACTATGGTCCACATGTATCCCAGCATTCTGGCATAAACTTGTGTGAGATGCAATCAGCCCGCTCACAGGAAGCCTACCTACCTACTCGGAGCCGAGCTAGTTTGGAGACCAACTTTTTCGGTCAGGTTACTGATACCTTATTTAACTCAATTGTCTTCATAAAAAATATATCTTACCATTTACATATCTGTGCTGAAATATTTTCTCAGAGATTTACTTTGGTAACGTATTAGTGGGTTTTAGTTCATGCTCATCCTGTCATATCATTCTAAGAGCACTGATCTGTCCCATTATTTTTTAATTATCGAATACCTATAAGTTATATACATAAATATATAGTGTATACAGTTTTCTATTCAGTATGTGCTTGTTAGATCTTGCGAGACTCAATATTTAGTCTACAGTCAAACTACTTTTGAAAATTTAGGATTGGATCTTTGTAGACCTGAGGACTGACTGACAACGTAGTTATTCGACCCCACTAAAGTTCTTTCTCAGTCTTTGGGATATTACTTCTGTGATGAGGGCAGTAGCTTCTGTGAGTATCTTTATAGAAATCCACCTCTTTGAACGCAGCGCAATCCATTACCTACAATCACATAAATTTCCTCAACCACTATGTTAACTGCTTACCAGATCATCGAATATATGTATATATGATCAAGATAATATTTGTCATATGAAATAATATTTTCGATTCTAATCTGAAAAACTTGGTTTGAAGCTTATTAGTTTGATTTGTTATCTACATTTTATTTTGTCTAAACTGCATTCAATTCACTTTGACAGTAGAGCAAGAAGATCTTTTTAGTGAACCGCTTATTATCCTTCAGTGTCTCGACAGGTGTTATTTTTACACTGAATTCAATTTTCAGAAATACCTATCAATTCACAAAGGGCTTTCTTAAAGCATACATCCACTACAAATGGCTACTGTTATGCATTTCGAAGATGATGACTACATAACCTGTGGTCAGAAGTCGAATGGATATGCCAGTCTAACGTCTGGTGAGATTTAGAAGTTAGTGATCGCTTACATTTTTAATTTACCCTGGTTAGTTTGCGTGACGCACAACACCTGTCCTAATAATTCGGATATACTTATTTTAGCTGAAACAATTCCCATATTTCTAGTTTCTCCGTATAAGTCCAGTAAAGTGTAAGATGATTTTGAGAATGTTCTCACTCCATGGGTATTTACGCATCAGTAAAATTCAGTGATTTGATTTCGTTTACTTGTAACCATGTCTTTTATCCCCATTTTTAGATGTCAGTTTGAATGGCTAGCGTTCGGCGAGTCGCCATAACTGGCTTGGGAGTTTGCACACCTCTGGGCTGCAGCACGTCCGAATTCTGGACAAGCCTTTTAAATGGTTCTTGTGGGATATCAAAGACACATGGTAGCTTGGTTTATTGCTTCATGAATCATAGATGAATTTTCCTTTCTACCTAGTCGTGTGGCTGGAATAATCAATGATCATAAATTTGAAAAACAAAAGCGTTTTGTAAATTCTTCTCTGAATGAAACCTGGAACGTAGACATTTCTGGTGACTGGCGATCGATGTCTCGTGCTGGTACTCTAGGTGTTCTAGCAACTCATGAAGCCTTAAAACAAGTGAAGTGGAAAGTAAATTCAGGTTATCGAGCAGGTACGTCTTGCGTTTGCAGACAGGATACGTTTGTGGTCTTTCGAAATAATGTTTTCTTGTGATCAAAGATAGGTCACTAAGTATCTACACCGAGGACGCTTAACTGGAGAATAAATGTCGATTATATAAGACTGACTAGGAGATATTGGAAATTTTTTTATGATTACTAACTTTCAGCAGCAGTTGCAGCCTAGAAGTAAATTTTTAAAATGTAATGGGTTTATGCACTCCGTCGAGAATGCCTGTTGAAAGCTATTGAGTTTAAAATTTTAACAAACATACCTCCATGTTCAACTTCATCGATTTCTCTTATGTCCGTGACTAACTGTCTGACAATATGAATCTAGCTTCTCAGTAAAACTAAGGGATGGGTAACTAAATTATCTTGAGTTTCTGTTCTAGGCAATTTATGAGTCGTCCATTCCATATTGAGACATTTTTGGTGAAATACTAAGTTTCAGGTACATGGTACTTTGCGAAATGTCTCACGATTGTGTTTTCTTTCTTTAACTTCAAATATAATGTGTACATGCAACGTTGTGTTGATTTAAATTTTTCCTTTACGTTGAGAACTGGCTGTTGATTTTCCTTAAAAATGGATAAATAATTTTCTATCAACTGATTTCAGTCACCTAGACATTTATTTTTGGATGATGTAGGCTTTTATTCAAACATATAGTAGTAGACAGTCAAACACTTCAGTTAGACAGAAAGTTACTACTCCCGAATAATATCTATCGACTGGGAAAATGATTTTTGAGCCCATATAACAGTCGGCAAAATGTTGTATGCATTAATAGATCTATGGTTCATTGGTTTAGACGGTTGACTTTGAACCAGTGAATCATGCATTCAAAACCCAGCTATCTACTGATTTCTGGGCAGACGAATGATACCACCAGCCCTCATAATAGATGTAACCGGACTACCTACTGAATGAGCCTGTACATGAACGCTGATTTACGTACATTAAGGCAACTATGTGGAGGACTGATGGTAACCAGAAGAGGACTAAATGCTACTATATAAATGAGGCTAGGTAACACACCTCAGCTTCTCACATAGAAGGGTTCTTCTTCTTAAGGTGTCTGAAGAACAAATGGATTGGTAAAGGTGGTTTCAACAACTTGAGTGCAAGACTCCGCTTTTTTGGAGATTGCCGATTTGGGTTAGATTGTAACGTTCAGATTAGAAAAGTCCACACAACCGGTTCCAAAAGACCACCGAGCAAGAAGGAATGTACCATTTTTATGGAATGGCCTTTTTAGTTCCTCCTTTTCGATAAGGATAGGAAGCACTACATCAGACTGCTTGTTATCCGCACGGAACGCCTCACCGCCACCTCACACTATCCAACAGCCAGCGGTATTACTTCTATATCGAACCCCCACCGTAGAGTAAGGTATTTACACTATGACGGTAATTGTTTACAGTCTCACTAATATCCAACAAACCTTCCTAACCTGTGATGACCTCAGTAAGCAGTCGTCCCAGCCAGCATAGCTTGTTGGGTCATTCTGATATGCTAGCTTAACCATTGCGTCAAGCTGACAGCTATCGATCTGACTTGAAGGGAACTGGGGTTGTTGTAGCTCACTCCTTAGTCGACCTGGAGTGTGCATATAATGTAGTCCTATTAGGGGAAGATACTAACACGATGCAGTCTTAAAAACCACGAGTGGTAAATTGAGGATATTTGCGATGGGTGTCTCACCAGCCAAGTGTGAATCGTTGCATTCCCAGTACTGATAACATAATGGTTTGGTTGGTTTTTACCAACTTACATCAACTATGGTACCGCTGAGTTGTTTGATCGTCTACCAAATTTTGAATGTTCTGTGCAGCAGTTCCCTCTATCCTACCGTGTATTTATGAAACATTGCCAATAAAGTTGAACATAAAAAGACTTCAGGTGTTCTACCACCGTTGTCTTCGTAGCATAGGTTGTGTCATATAACCACTAAGCAGAAATTAGGTGACTGTAGTAAAAGAGGAAAGTTGGTTGGTGGGCTTGTGGGTCTTCATCAACTCGGGTTGCTTGGGCATTTGTTACGTAACCCTATTTACCATGTACCCATAAAGTAAGGATGACATTCAAACCGGTTTCAGTGTATTGGTTTGTAGTTTTTCATCACATCACGTGTTGAATATATTTAATTAGTTTTTTTTAATTTCACCTGGACATTACAACTTTTTTGAGATGAATGAGGATTTTTAATTTAGAAGTGGTATTCATCATGGACTGACATCAGTTGGAGAACCATTGAAAATCTGGGAGCACTGGACAGCCGTTTCGTCCTAGTGTGGGACTCCTCAGCAGTACACGTTCGCTGTGAAACCTGAAGGTCCTGAGTTCGACCCCTAGCCAGGTCGTGGGTGCGTACTGCTGAGGAGTCCCGTACTAGGACGAAACAGCTGTCCAGTGCCCCCAGATTTTCAATGATTCCCCAACTGGTGTCAGTCCATGATGAATACTACTTCTAAATTACAACTTTTTGTTTGATGGTAATGTTAATTTTGTCATCGATGAATTCAAATGTACCCCTGTATTTTAGATTTTCACATACCCTCTTTCTAAATGCTTATTCAATAATTTGCAGCAGCATTCTACTCATTAGTATTAAGTTAAATCAAATATTCTACAAACTTAGTTCCTTTGACGAAGTTGGATAACTGAATGAGAATACCATTTCCAGAATAAGATGATACCATTTTATTTTACAGGATTTTGCGTGACCTACATATATCATGAATTAGAACTCACTTTGTCATCCAAAGTTTTCAAATCTCTAAATCACCTACACTTTTAGCTGTAAAACTGCTTGTATTTCATGAAGTTGCAAGGGTAACGAACACTTACAGTTTGACATGAAAACCATAAAAAGCTTATTTTCTTTCAAGTGAAATTATTGGCAAATTGAACTTCAGTGCGCTTTTACTGCTAGTATCTGGGTTTTTTTTCATTGTTAAGGCAATTTTAATTTCACTCAGGTTACAACACATCAATTCTGTTGGTTTGTAAACCCTTAACAGCCATCAATTTCCTACATAATAGTATCACATAAAAAACTACATGCATATGTAAAATCTCTCAGTTGATTCAACATTTGCAAATAACCTTGCATAATTTCAGGTGTTTATTTTGGAGTCGGAATTGATGGTCCAAGTGAAGTTATGAACTCAGCGTCAGGAATTTCAGCTAAAAAATATTCTGACATTGGACCATATGCTTTAACGCGGATACTTGGTAATATTCCAGCCGGCATGATAAGCCGGATTTGGGGACTACGAGGACCATGTATGACAGCCAGTACCGCATGTGCTGCTGGTCTTCACTGCATTGGGGAAGCTTTTCGCATGAGTAAGTACCTCTAGGATATTCTAATTCTTCTGAATAACTTTAGTTGCGTGACTGTTTGTAATCAATGGTCGAATCACACGTTTTATTTATGTGATTGAAAATTTCATGTTTATAAATCGTGACTCCTGAAGGTAGACAGAAAAGTACCAAAAATCCCATTACCAGCGCCTTCAAAGCATTGGTCTTCTACTGTGCAGCCAACAAATAAAGTCAACGTAGCACCACACACAGGTATGTCGTTTCAAGTTCCCACACTTATAGTAGCATGCAAAGAATAAGTGGTTAAAGAAAGATTGGTGTCAAAGTAGGTAGAGGTGTGTAGGAGGAAAAGAAATCTGGGAATCAGGGTCAGGGGGAATGCTCAATCTTTGAAAAACGACAAAGAGTGGATACATCTGCGTCATTATGGCCGATCTTCATATCACCAAGAGTTTCTAACTGTTGATTCCTATAATCTCGAGGATCCCAACCAGAAAGTCTACACTTCCCTACACAACGCACACAAGCAGTCGGAAACTTTGTGGACTAGTGCCACGTCTTAATCTAACCACGTTCATCCTTCTTTCAACAAAATTTGTCAGCCAATATTGTGCGTCCAAGGAAGAAGGTAGCTGGTCATGCGCAACACATATACAAACAACCTCACACCCTCGTTGACTGACTTATCTGCCTTGCCTAGTACTCTTCGCCTAACCGTGACAATTCGCGTATGATGAACTTACTATATGTGAGCAATGCTACGGAAATACCTCTGATTAAAAACCTGTATTCCCTCCATTTTTACTACTTCCAATAGCCATGATCCACAGTCGTATAGTGGGACAAAACCGACTGCAGTGCAGTATACTTGTCGTTTGGTAAGTAGTCAGATATCTCACTGGTGCCAGAGATAGTGTTATGTGCCTATTCGAACCCAACCAGATGCCCTCTAGAGAGGTGGTCAATATCTGTGATATCGAAGATATCTGTTATGCCCATTAATACATCTATAACGAAGGTAAGCAGGGATGATAACAGTCTGCAGCCCTGCTGGATACCTGTTTGTCGCAAGATCGGATGACAACTCAGCGTAAGCCCCTAGAAAGCCGTGGGATTTCGAGTAGAGAGCCTTCATTGGCGCTACATACTTGCTTCGTACTCCTTTCACAGTCAGACATTGCAACAGCACCTCTCGTTGACAGAGTTAAATGTCGCTTTTAGGTATAGAAATATGGCGTGTCAGCCGCCGGAGAATATGCTTGTGTTTCCTAGCCTGTCGAGGGGTGGTGTTAACGCTGCGCCCTCTTCTGTGTTTGAAGCCTGCCTGATTTTCTCAAGTTCGCCGTTTTTGAGCCCCAGTTAGTGTTAAGATCGTAGATGCCGTGTTAGTCAAACTAATGCTCCTATGGTTGTCACAAGAAAAATTCTCTCCCGTTTTGTAGACCAGAATAATTAACAACTTTGACCATTCTGACGGGACTGTTTCTAATTTCCACAGGCTACTAATTACCTCCATTATTCAACTTGATAATTTTCTGACTCCATGCTTACAAACATAAGGTCGTACTGCTTTGCATCGTTTCAGGCCTGAAAAAAAACTCAACTTCGAGAAGAGTTGTTAAGACGACGTCTGCGTCCTATTCATGTTCGGTCTGGATGTTGGGCAACTGAAGCATGTCTGTAGGCTATTTTAGCCGTGCCTCAAATTGTTTCACCTGTCGCGAGCGGTTATTTGGGATCTATGCATTTCGGTGTTGGCCATCGTCTTCTTCTTGGCCACCTTTTTTAATCAGCCTCAATAATTGATTAGTATTACTTAGTGCTGATGCATTCTCCATTTGTTGTACTCTCGCTGCCCACCACTGTTCACGCACATTGCGAAGACTCTTAGCCGATTTATATCCCAGCCGCTTTAGCTCTCCATTATGGTCAGAACCGGCTGATATGAGCAATCACGCACCAATCATTTCAGGTAAGATTGCGGAAATTCACTGGCTTTTACTAGCCTGAGTATCATCCTGAGATTCATCAGTTAGAGAATCGCTGTCAAGATAAATGATCCTCTATCCCCACCATAACCACACACTTGACGTTCTAATCCTCTATTCAAGCACATGCTCAAGCTTCACTACCGCTTAATTTTCGCAACTAAGAAGGCTCAAACACACACTTGTAGTAACATGTGATCAGATTCCAAATAAGTACTCTAAAAAGAGTGAGAATCATCCACCGATCCTTTTCAACAATGACCTATAGCAATATGATCTTTCTGTATCCATCGTTAGTTCGGTGTTCGTGGACGCGAACTGAGGTACTGTCTCACCTTTTACTTGAAGTTAGCGCTAAGCAGAAACAAGTGGCTAGAAGAGACTATCGCTGTTGTCAGCTCGTTGGCATAGAATGCAGTAAGTAATCTCATGATGCCTTTCCGATTGGCTCAGCTTCTCTAGTTGACCGTTGAAATAAGGGGCTCGGAGCACATTCCGAAGTTGCTTCAGACGCAAATTGAGTCATCTGAACCTATCAATGTTGGTAGCAGACTTAGAAGTCCTTCAGGCGCAAAACATATCGCTGACGTGGGTCACAGGATTGACGTTACCATCTCTTTTAGACCTATTTACGAGAAAGGTTGGAGACTGATCCTTAGATCTGTCGAGCTCGTAGCTGTTAGGAAGTTTAAACCGCCTTTGTGTTTAAAAACATTTTAGTGGAATGCATCGAACACTTCACTTTTTTGGCGAGTTGCATCCGGCCAAACGTGCTGGTTGCTGACGAAATCTCAGCCCGAATACAGAAGGTCCGGCCAGCATTTGCCAGCTTGTTTCATCTGTGACACTAACTGGTGAGATATCGAACTATCAGTGAAAAGACGAGCATAGTGCGCTGCAGTTCGTCCTGTTTTACAGGTGTGAGACATGGCCGTTAACAGTAGAAGATATGAAGCGATTACTGGGTTTCGATCAAAGTTATCTTCGTACCATTGTCCACGTGTGGTGGAATCACTAAGTAAGCAATGTTGAAGTCAGAGGAAGGGCATCAGGCAAGAAGAACAAGTCGATTGATGAGATTTTGAACCTTCATCGACTGAGATGGCTTGGACATGTGCTGCAAATGCTTAGTCACCGCCCAATAAATTATTTGGACAGTTGCGAAGTATCATCAGTCCTCACTTAGACACGATTTGCATTCTGGTGCACGAACTTGTATTTCGTTACCAAGCTTTATGATTATAACTAGTATCATTACTATTGACACTACTACTATTATTATTATTGCTATCATCTGTTTTGTATCATTATTGTTAGTTTTCAAGCCACTTGTGTTACTAAATAATAGATTACATGTGTGAAATTATACTGGTGTTATAGCTCGTGCTCATAAATTCGATCACTCAGGAGCTGTTGAAGGTATAATAGTTTGAACACCTACTCAGGATCTGTTGGGTTTTGGAGTAAGCTATTAGAATGTACAGTGACGTGTTTCTGCACGCAATAACATTGGAAGTACCATTTTTCCAACAGTGCATGAAATGCGGTCTAAAAGGTTGTTGTCGCAGGTATCTTTGAGGTTGACAAATTCAATATTTAAGGACACCATGTGATGGAACGTAGTAACTGTCGATGTTACTCTGATTAAATGACTTTGTACACTATTAATCATCAACTAGTTTTTTCAACCCAATGACAACAAACAACCCTTTATTACTTAGTTACGGGTGTTCTACGCTAAATACTTGTCTGTCATAGTTCAGTGAATTTAGTTTATTTCCCACTCTACCTTCATTAAGAACGTCAATTTTTGTGGATTTTCGTAATTTCAAAAACCAAGTAGGTAATGTTTACTATTCTATTTGATCAGTTCAGAATGATGAAGCTGATTTGGTCGTTGCTGGTGCATGTGAAGCTCCTTTAAATCCATGGACGATGGCTGCTTTTTCTCGACTTCGTGCTTTATGTACACAGTTTAATGATACTCCTGAACAAGCCTCACGTCCATTTGACTCTCTGCGCAAGGGATTTGTACTGTCTGAAGGTGCAGCTGCAGTTGTGTTACAAGCTTGGCCTCCTCCAAATGACTTCTTAGTGGAATCATTTGATGAACCACCTAAACCAATAGCTGAAATTATTGGCTTTGGAAGATCTGGTAAGATTTTGTACGATTGATAAGAATTAATGGTAGTTTTTTGGCGATTAACAGATGAGCTTATATCTTCATCTTTAGAAAATGTCATTCTGTCACAGTAGTGAGTATATTACTAAACTCAAGCAAAAATTGCTTCCATGGGGGCAATAAGTGCGTAACTGGTGAGTATTTCCAAAAGGCAAAGTGCTCTACAGCCGCCATATAAACAACGACCTGCTGTTCGGTAACAGTAATGCTCGAATAGTAAATATCTCATGAACTTTTTCAGGGTTTCTGGTGCACTTTAATAACCTGTTCAATCATAGGAATAAGCATGTAAAGTTTATGGATAGGCAATAATCCAATCTATGATCATTTAAGGGTATAAAATCTTTATTCGCTCAATTGTGGAACTGTGGCTCATTTATCTAGGCATTTGATTTTCGACCTATGGGTTTCGGGTTCGAATCCATCCCTGCCTATCGACGTTTGGGTGGCCAAGTAGTATCATTAGGCCTCACGCAATAAGTATGGCTCAGTGCCTACTGCACGAATGTATATGTGGTTGCTGAGTGATTTGCTCAATTACTCCATCTTTTTACTATCCATTAAACTTTATTTATTGACTCCCATAGTACTTTAGTATCGTGTAGCTTTTCCTCGACTTCCAAAGTCACTTACCAGGAATAGAAATCAGGGTTTCCAGGCTAAATGCGTTTGTAAACTAATTAATTATTCTTTCGGATAACAGTTGCAGTCTTCCTGAAAAAATAACAACAAGAAAGATTATCATTCAGCATGAAAATTTGTTTGTCAGTTGTGACCGAAGCGAAACGCACTCAGCAATCTTGTGCACGTTCACACAGTAAGCAATTAGCCTGACTGCCCAGACACCTGTAGGATGGAGCGGTGTTCGAACCTGTGACGCACTGGGTGACTGTCAACTGCCTAAACCAATGAACAATAATCCCACTCAATGGTGAGCATTTAAATTGATTCCGTTGGTTAGACATTCCACTTATTTATTGATTACACTTTTCATCTTTATGATGAAGTGCCATTTTTTATGACCGTTGTATTTCTTTTCTCACCAAATTACATAAAAATCTCCACTGATAGAAAAACTGGTGAAGTAAAGTAGAGCGTGGTAACCCCATAACTGTATCGAAATTTTTGATTAATATCTGGATGTAGTTATGATATGTCTCACAATATTTCGGTAAATATTATGATTTCTGTTCTTCATAGTTCGACAATTTATTTTTACCAATAGGAGATGCACATCATTTGGTAGCACCTGATCCAACAGGTAGCGGAGCGATTCGAAGTATGTTAAATGCCTTTAATGATTCAAAGCTTGAAAATTTAAATGAGGTAAGTCAGTAATTTTGGTTGCTAGATAATTTAGTGTCTTTGATTTACCTACTACGTTACGGTCATGAAATGTCTTATTTCACTACATCAATAAGAAGCTAACGATAGGTAAAAGGTTCTTACAACTTAAATACACTTACGTACACTATCATGCCTTCGGTATCTATATATGATATAGTAAAAGAATATTTACGAAGGCAACTAATTGAAAAAGACAGCAACTTAACTTCAGTAGTGTTAAATTTTTGTCAGTATTGGTTAAGTTTGGTCTAGGGCTATTCTCGAAGTTTGTCACAATACAAATGCCTCACGGAAAGCATCCTCATTTATTTCTAAAGAATCAACTATCTTTGATTGTTATTTTTAGATGAGATATGTTTGATGGCTAACTGGCATAAAAGATAACATGATCCATCAACAACCAATTTGAAAACAACTCCATGAATCCGATCTACTCTCTGTTTATTTATGACTTCCCTTTTCCCTATGGCCAATGGTATCAGTTGGTAAGTTCACCGTTACCTTCTCGGTCACTTGGGAGACTACACATACGTCGTTTACCCACTTGTACACAAAATCCAATTCTACAGAAGGTCATTCATAGCTTGAATAGCTTAGTAGTAAAGTCTCTGTCTTCAGTAGAACTGTACAGGTTCGAATCATCGAGCGAACACGTTCCCCCATGGTTGCAGACATACTTTATTGATTACTGGCAACCAAGGTAAACAGCTTCCTGCAAATTGCTTGCCAGAATTGAGATTGAAGTTGAAATACTCGCAGCAACCTTGTGCGCGTTTGTGCAACTGGGAATGGGCCATACCCGTCGTGTGGGGCTGGGTTCAAACCCATGACTCATCAGTTGAAGGTCTACTCCCTAAACCTATTAGCCACAACTCCACTTACCAAGAAATAACAGTGAAGTATAGTGTCACATTGCAAATTTGATCAATTGGATTTAAGACTGCAGAGAACTTGTGATGAAACAGCCTCATTGGTTACTCACGAGTGATCAATCCGTATCTATTGCAAATTAAAATTATTTTTGACATGACCTCACGAACACCACTGATCAGCTTTTGATACTATGTAAACTCAATTTAAATGCCGCTTGTAATTGCTCGTAAACTTTTTTATTTGAAGGAAGTACTTCGACTTTTGAATAGAGCTGAGTTATTACTTGTCGATCACCTAGAATAATCAAACAATGAGTACAGTTTACGGCGACGCCATCTAGCTTGATAGCCGCACTGCAAACTTGATTGACAGGATTCCTCCGGAGCATATGACTATTATATTCCTGATTACTGGTTAGTACGGTTGTTGCTCAATAATGGCTAACTCATATACTATCTACCCTGACTCCAACACCCCTCATAAACATAAAGTGAGAAGAAAAGGCCATTTTGGACAATAACTTTACTGTCTCAGAGAAGACTGATTATAACCTGAAACACATGTGTATCTATAGATTAAATGTGATGCTGTACAGGATTATAAAATTAGCATATTAAAAGTGAGTGTCAACCAATCAGCAGTTCGCTTTGGAAAAAAGAGTGAAAATGAACTGCTAGCCATGGCGTAATAAAGGCTCAAAAATTTCGATTTGAAATATATAAGAAGAGTAATAAATTTTTATGCAAATTTAGCAACCCCACAACAAGAACAAGGCAACAATAATGGTTAGTTTCCAGTGCCAGATCAATGTATATTTTCTTAATGATATATATCTCACAGAAATAGTCATGACTTTCAAATTCGTAATTTTATCTAAGCATCTACTACATATCGCTAGTGTTTAACTGTTCAAAACGTGTTAATATTCATGCTCATTACTTACTATATCTCCCTCCCTTATTTCAGATTGGACATATCAACTGTCACGCAACATCCACTCCTGTAGGTGATCAAGTGGAATTGAGTGCTATTGCACAGCTGATCGGTGAATACTTCACTCCTTATAATGATAAACGCGTTGTAATCAATTCTATTAAAGGCCACATTGGTCACTGTCTCGCAGCAGCTGGTGCTATAGAGACAGTGTACGCAGCTTTATCGGTAAATAATGGTCTGATTTGTGGAAATTTTAATTTGTATAATCCTATCTCAGACGGCGAGTTGATGGAGGTAATAAAATCGAGTCCCAAATCCTTCTCCAGTTCTTCTTTCGCTGAAAAATGTATAGATATGTTTAGCAACTATATTGTGCTTCCTAAATACAATGAATTGAAGGTTACATGGCCAAACAATCATCGTCGTGTTGCTATGGTCAACTCATTCGGATTCGGTGGGACAAATGGAACTCTGTTAATTTCAGAATGGATAGACTAACATTCTGTGTACTTTATGAATTTATAGATTCTACACTTATTTCACTAATATTTTGGGTCTTTTCCCTTTGGAGTAAGTTAGTCTGGGATTAGTCATTCAGTCAGTAACGTTATATCTTTCTGTAGCTCTGTTAGACGAAAACGCAATCAAGACAAACATTCAATGTTTATGAAGGAGATACACTTATGAAATCCTATAGAGGTAAAAAAATTAATTCCTAATGTCTGGCGACCTCGTAGAAGCCACTTCTTCAGAAAATGTAAGACATTCAATGACCGATAGTTCATTCTGTAATCATGGTTCAGATTCATGTAGTGGTTGCTGACATAATCATAAACAGCAGTATAGAATATACAGCTTTAACAGTGGGAATTAACATCTGTAGCCATTAGTGCTAGTGTGTACCAACATGGAAAGGTATATCAGTTGGAGAATGATAAGCAGAATAAACTTCAGCCAGTGTGTGACCGCAGACTGCGTTTGCTAATCGCACCCATCCTTTTTCTCTATCGTCTTGACTCCTGTAACCAGCCTTAAAGCATAACGGCTTTAAGGAGGTAACATTCATCAACTGTCGTTATTTTAAACTACCTATCATTATATCACTGCACTATTTTGGCTTTTGGAGTCTTGGTATACAATTCGGATACAGTTTACTTCAATCTGTTGGTTGAGTGTGCTTATAATAGCGTATCAACCAGGTTGTATTATTTGGAAGTCATTTTTTCATATTGTGAATGTTAAAAAAGCTGTTGACCACAAGGGTTACTACTGTACCATCTTTCAAAATCTCATTTCAACGCTGATTCCACCGGAGTGTGTTCTCTGGTAGGTACTTTGGAAACAGTATTTGATTGGTTCGAATCCTATAGCTTTATACTTCGCTTTGCTTCAGAGCATACTATTACGCCTTAAGTGTTTGTTAAAGTGTAGAGATAAATAAGACATTCTGTAAACATACTCCGAAATATATTCCTTAAACTATGTGTTAAATCTGCTGAATCAGACCAACTTTCTGAACCTTTGTCAAGCTGTTCACTAAACTCCACTTTTGGATGCTGTTGTCATTTCCTCTATAAGTTTTCTGAGACTCCATTATCAGTGTTTTTATCCTCTTAGGTGTATGTTCTACACTGTGAATTAGATAAAATACCAATAAGTTTATTAGAATGAACTGAAAATCAATACTTCAGTAAGTTACCTAATGTTTGATATTTGTATGGCTGCTCCATGAGTGATGAAAAATGCATTTCTCCGTCAACTCCGTTTATCTGAGAAAGGCATTAGTAGAATGAACTCAGTCGTTCAGAGTCGTTTGTTGGCCGAATGTAGATAGTGAGTTGGAATATATGACCCACAAATATGTGTAAACCCTTAAGTTGCTCGTCAAAGCGGAATAAGAGTCATTTCCTGTTTAAAGAACTTGCACGATTTTGAATTCATATTGATTTTGCTTTTCCATTCCAAGGAAGACATTTCCTGTTGATAACTGATTCATTTGCTAAATGACCGGAATTTTTAACTATGGAGAATGTATCTATCCCAACTACAATTCAGAAACAGAAGTGTATTCGTTGTTTCTAACCGTCTGGTGTAATTGCTACAGACAATGAAATGCAGCTTACATCAAGTCATTTCTATAAGTTATATCAAGGCAATAAAATCCAGTACATCCGGTCCTACCCATATTGTCCTCAGTCAAAGGCCAAATTGAATGGTTTGTTGATGCACTTTAGAAAGCCACTGTCAGAGGAGTGGATACTAGAAGTAAGTACTGCAGAGATTCCTTCTGAGTTATCGTTTAACGCTAAATCCATCAACAAAAAATGGATGTTCAAAAAACAAATTTAGCGAAAATTTTCTTTTCGACGAGTCATTTTCAGCAACCATACAATTTTACTGATGGTAATAACAAACTAAAAACTAAGTCTATTATTAGCTAGCTATTAGGCCATCGAAATGAAATGCTGTAAGATAAAATGGTGAGTCGTTCCTAGAATTACAAAGAGATTGCGTAATCACAGGGCACATAAGGAAAATATGCAATCAATCACGGTGACGACTAATATGTTAAAAAATAATAATACTAATTATAAGCAATAACCATAGTAAGAAATTACAATAATTCCAGTAAAATATTGGAACTAACATAAAAAAAAATGTAGTAAAGTAAAACTAATCAATCAGTAAGAGTAAGATGGATGTTAAAGCACTAATGAAATTCAGAGTGGTTATGACCACGGCAAAATAAGAGATTGGACGTACATCTACCGTACTCGGAGCCCGGTCTTAGTAATTAGAGGGCCAGCACCTCTGATATATTATAATTGGCGAATTCACACTCCTTTTTAGCCGTTTGGTTTAACTTTGTATAGGATTTTGAAAAAAAGGCTGTAGGGAGCTGATCAAATGGTCCGAGAACTGTCACTTTAATTGCGTTCTCTGAAAAGCCAAGCAGTATAGCGCTTGGAGATGCGTTTTTAAAATTGCGCTTTGTGCGAACTACATACCCAGCTCTGCAAGAACAGGGAAACTGATAAACAAACATAAATGTGACCCAGAGCGGCAATTTGTCTTCCACACCTTGAATCAACTGCCACACAGAGGTGACCATTTGCAGTTCGGCAGCATAGAATGTTTTTCTGATGAATTTAGAAAGGTTCTTTCGTAGTTCTGCTGCCTTGGAGCCTTTGAATTCAGTATTCATAAATAAAAATCATGTTTTTTTGCAGTATTTCTTGTATTGTCTGAATAAGTGCTTTTGAAGGTATTCCAACTCTTCGTCTATCGTGTCATTTGCGCAAATATTCTAATTCTCGTTCAAACCGAACTAATTGAGTTCTGTTTTCTGATCAGTCGTATCCAACTTTGAAAATTAGTGTATCATCCCTTCCAAGTTGGTTTCCTGTAGACTGACCTTCTTAAGAAACCATCTCGTTTTCTATTCAAGAAAATGAAACTCTGAGTTGTTCTCAACTTTCGTCGTGAAATTGACCGATGGATGACCCTCATTGAATTTCAGAAGAGTGGCACCAAGATCAGTTTGTGATAACAGACAATCACAATATAATCTATATATCTGCTATACTGATAAAACTGGCCGATACTTGAACATAGTCAGCTGTTTTGTAAATTAGCCTTGAAGCAATCTGCTAGAAGGGAGCCCAATTGCCACTCCGTTCTATCGATAAAACTCATTATTGAACTTGGATTCCATCGTAGTAGCAATTCCTTTAGATGGTAAATTGGATTACTGACTGCTAGAGTTCTAGTTTTGATTTAGTTGCATAAGAAACAAATAGACTGTGTAAGTGGAACTTTTGTGAAGTGACTTTCAAAGAGAATATTCATTTTCCAAATACAGTGAGGTTAGTTATTTAGTCGACGAAATCAAATCAGATTATTTGAATGTGAGTGTCTTTCCAGCTATTTAGGGATATGCTTGACTTCAGACTTCAATCACTCCTCCCATTGTTTGTGTCACCACACACATGTAAATCGGTATACACAGTAGGGTGTGACGTAATCATCTATGTAGTGATGAAGTTTATTTTGCCTGATCTATTACATTGAGCTTGGTTGCACAGCATGTTTTTAATGATTGAATTAAGTCTTCTTCTTGAGATCAGACTGTTTGATTCCCCCTTATACGGTAGCGTGATACAGATATCCTTCTTCGTGGCAGAACACTGATTAGTTCTCACCCTTGAGACCTTTTTATAACGACTGATCAACTTCAGGGGATATGCATTTTTCATGAGTGACTCTGTTAAGAATTTGGTTTGCCGAAGATGTACAAACCAAGTATTCTATTATGCCCAATACTATCAATGTATCATAAATTGACGAAATGACTAGTACGAATGCTAAGTGCAGTTAGAAATCAACTATGTAGGTTTTTTATTAAAGGATACTTTTGAACTTACTGACTACTTAAATGGCGTCAATATCAAAGATAAGACAATGAGTTCTTTTGATGTAAACTCTTTATCCACCAATCTGCATTTAACAAAGACTTGATATTCTTTGCGATTATATATCCTTGAATAATCCTTCAATCACTGTCTCTCTAAAATATTTGAAAAAACAATTACTACTGCGCACTAATGAGGTTCATTTAACTTTCGAAGGTGGACATTTTCGACAAGTTGATGGTGTCGCTACGTGTAGTTCTTCAGGACCATTGTTAGCTGATGTTTATGTGTCACATGTAGAACGAAGTCCTTCTGTACAGGAGATATATTGATGAAATGTTGTGCAATAAACATGAAGATGCAAAAAGCCTTTTAGAGAGAGCTTCTGAGCTGTCGTGGAACCAGGTTCAAAAGTTTTCAGAGAACAGAGTGCACTGGAGACGTGCTACTGAAGCCCTATGTTCCATTAGGAACCCAAGGGACAAATAATTATAACACCATAAAAAGCCATATCGGTTTGTCGTGTGAAACAGAAAATAATGATCAGCTTCATTTTCTTGATATATTATTGATTAGAAGGAAAGATAGGTCGATAAAAAGATCAGTGTACAGAAAACCTGCATGGGTCGGACAGCATCGAAACTTTCAAAGTTTCTATCCAATGCAGAACAAACGAGGTCCAGTAAAATACTTATTCAAAAGAACCCAACGTATCTATACAACAGATATATTGGAAGAAATCAGATTCTTAACAGTCACTCATGAAAAAAAGCATATCCCCTGAAGTTGATCAGTCGTTATAAAAAGGTCTCAAGGGTGAGAACTAATCAGTGTTCTGCCACGAAGAAGGATATCTGTATCACGCTACCGTATAAGGGGGAATCAAACAGTCTGATCTCAAGAAGAAGACTTAATTCAATCATTAAAAACATGCTGTGCAACCAAGCTCAATGTAATAGATCAGGCAAAATAAACTTCATCACTACATAGATGATTACGTCACACCCTACTGTGTATACCGATTTACATGTGTGTGGTGACACAAACAATGGGAGGAGTGATTGAAGTCTGAAGTCAAGCATATCCCTAAATAGCTGGAAAGACAATCGCATTCAAATAATTCATTAAGTACAGGAGGCAAATGAACGTCATCATCCATAGATAAACATATCATGAAATTAATAAAGTGAGGTTTATCGATTAATCCGATTTATCACTGGTTGAAGAATTTCAGTCATTTTGCGATTGTATGATATGTGGGATTATCTTTACTCAATATTGGATGAAGTGGATTACCCTTATTGTGTAACTTTGGGAGGCTATAAAATCTTTAAATCACGCAGCCAAATGTTTGAACAGATCATTGTCAGTGATCAACTCATTTTTCATCTTATTGTGAAAATTGATCAACTTCTGCTTAGTTTGTTCAGTTGTATCTTTCTCAACAGTTACTTCTGAGAATTTATTTTTGTCTGATGGCATGTAAGACGACTTTCGAACATAATCATGCCAGCTCTTGAGGATGATATCAGAACTTTTATCGGGATTTCACCCTTAAGTTTCTCAGGTGATGATTGACCCCTTGCAAAGCGAGATTACCTATAAGATTCGGTTACCAGTTATGGGTAACCTATGTTGCTGTCTAGTCCTCATTGGTCAGCACTGATCGAAGTGTATAGATTAAGTTTGTAATGTGTCTACTAAGTTAAATGATGAGGTAATGTGGTGCATTTAAAACATCCAGCATCTGTTCATTGTCTTTTATGAAAACTGTTTTCTATCTACTCTAGGTTGAATAAGCGCTCTGAAGGAGAGGTCAGTTTGTAAGAAACCAGGAAGAAGTGGTCGTTTCTGTCAGTATGTCGATAACAAAGTTAAAAATGCGCGGTGATAGCGAGTAGTGGAACTAGATTTGAGGAAGTTATAATCGTTATCGGCACATAATTGTGTTTTTTACTTAAAGATGCCCCTTTTGCTTTACTCAATCCACTCACAAATCAAAATTACCCAATAGTATAACAGCCTGTATTTATCTTATCTTTTACAGTACTGTTGACAGGTTTGGTAGAGCTTACGCTTCATATCTTTCAAGTTGGAGTTACTTCAACAGAAACTTCAAATAGACATTAGCGTTTGTTGTAATCCTTCGTAATTCTTACTGATACGTTCGACCGTACAATTCAAAGGCAACTATGAACTGAGATCCAGTCACAGTCCACTCTACGCCCTAGGAATGAATGGCATTCCTATACTAGCGAACATGCGGAGGCAAATCATCAGGTTTTCTGACACCTAAAGTGTGAATTTTACTAATTCATCACATTTTTTTTGAGGCAAAGTAAACGACAACACTTGGACCACGAATGGGCATCTCACAAACAATATACATTCATGGTACATGATCCCAAAATTTTGTCTTGAATGGTCTGTTGTTCAACTTAACTTCTTGTTTAAAAGTTGAAATCTTCAATATGCTGAAATTATAGTTTTAAGTAACTAGAAATGGCTTACATTCGCTCGAATCCTAAACAAAAGTAAAACATCGAAGAAACTACAACGTGATTTTGGTAGTGGGAAGAGATAATGAAGACAAGAATGATGATGGTTGACAAAGATATGTATACTTCCGGAAACGTAGGCGTGGTTAATATTTGTTGGCTGATCACACCGTGGGAATTGACGTCTTAAAATATCTCTAAGAGGAAGTAGTCTACACTGTATTTCTTTGCTTTTTCGGATATTTGCGAACTATTAAAAATAAATCGTCAAGATACTTCAAAGTTGACATATTTAGGTAGTACCAGAAAAAATTCAGAATGCGATACGGTGAAATAAGTTGGCAGTTCCAGTTTCATAGTTATGGAATGATAAATCGATTACCTAAAGTGCTGAACAATACCAACTATAAAATGTAATTCAGGACTAACAGAGTTAATATCACTGTGAATATTTACCTTGTAACGATCAGCTATTGGTAGGTTTTCGTCTAGTCTATTGGTACGTTGCAGTAGGGGCGAACACACAGGAGACTGTGTAAGCTTGGCAGTGGTGATGCATTCGGTCAGTACGAGAATCAGTTGACGACTCAGAAAGCAGTAAAAATTTAATTGCCCTTAGTAATTAAAGAAAATCGACAAAATATTATAATTCTCAAAGAAAGAGACAAGGCAATCTGAAAATGGAAAGTGAGTGAGTAGGGTTTCAAATGCGTTGTAACCCTAAGATATGTTACTTGAATAGTATGTCACAGAATGAAAAATCATGCAAAGAAAAGTATAACACATTTTTGTGCAAACAAATAGTATGTTAAAATACAGTGATACAATGTCCGCTTAATTTGAAACATTTGTAGTCCTTAAGTTTGATAATGTGATGCCTACTCTATCGTAATTGATGATACACCAATAGATGTATGTCTCAAACCATTTACTTGCGGCTTTTGAAGATGACAAATCCAGAACGGTTCTTATAGATTAAAATTCGACAGGGTACTGGTGTTCTTGAAGTTTGAGAGAAAGAATCAGAAATTCTTTTTCTCATTTATTTATTCCAGTTTTAAAACGCCAGCAAATTCATAGCAAAAAGTAAAGTATTTATGATGAACTTCTCCTAGTTATAAGCTGAATTCAAACTCGAAAAATCCAGTAAACTAGGACAACCGTTCATGAGTAAATCACTGCTGAGTGTAGCATGCCAAATACTAAATTAGTAATGAGATAACGCAACGCTGTCTAGGTGAACAGAAGAATTTTCATATTCCAGGATGATGTTCGTAGTTGATAGAAGACGCGAGTTACGTCGATATTTCTATCAGTAGCATGTTCTCTGCTGATTAGGCTACAAGACCCATTTGATAATCAAGGTTATCTTAGATGGCTTTATCAAAAATCATCCCGGTGTTACCCTTTTTTAATTCATAGAAACAAAAAGATATGGCTAGATGACTTGCGTAGTAAGGTGACATGCTTTATCATGACTGATCTACTGACTGGCAAATTTACAAAATTCCTACTGCTAAATAACTACACTTAAGCTGTATTGCACTTCTGCGAACTTCAGTTGCTCTACTTTTTTCTTCGATATACATACGGACTGATAATTAAATTTCGAAACGAATCCGTATTATTCCGTAAAAATACCTCATTTAGCAAACCAATGTTACCTTCAATAATATTATGTTTATTTATGATTTCAAGGTGGTATTTATCACGAACTGACATCACATGGAGAACCATCGAAAACCTGAGAGCACCGGACAGCTGTTTCGTTTTAATATAGGACTCCTTGATAGTGTGCACCTCACCTTGGTTGGAACCCAGGGCCTTCAGGTATTGTGCCAAGCATGTCACCACTGAGTCACTGAATGTATCATTTAATTGAGCAAACCCAAGTGGTGTACCTCCAAATCGAATTAAAACCGCTGTGGAAAAACATCCTCTCCACTAAAAGCTCTCTGGGTTTCGGTCAGCAGGTAAGACCAGGCCAAAGTATATAAAAATTTATGCACATACTGCTACTAAATATAAAAACTCTGCAATACAGTATTAAGCGAGTATTCTGTGCGAGGAAGATGGTCTTAGAAGTGAACTAAATAATCAACTTTTGTTTTTGAAGCAAACTAATTAAAGACTATACAACTTGCTATTATTTATATATTATGAATGTAATGCTAGTGTGATTGATTGCTTCAGGTAATTCTGCATTTCCAAGATAGTTGTAGATAAAGTAAATATTCTTATCTTTTGTATGTAACTTTTACTTAATTCATTTTGTTTTGCATACACATACACTATTTCTGTTCAATTGAGGCTATATAATATACTGAAAATTCCGTACAGTATTCCCGAAATATCTTTCAGTATTATTATTCATTTATTATTAGTCCCTTGGGTTCCTAATGGAACATAGGGCTTTGGTAGCACGTCTCCAGTGAACTCTGTTCTCCGAAATCTTTTGAACCTGGCTCCACGACACCCCAGAAGCTCTCATTCCCTCCTCTCACGATGTCCTCCATGTCACCCTCGGACGCCAAACTCGTCGCTTCCCATGGGGGTTCCACTCGAGGGCCTGACGCGTGATGTCCCCAGTCGGCCTTCTCAGTGTATGCCCAATCCATCTCCACTTCCTTCCAGTACATATTTGTTGAGCGATAGGTTCTTGGTTGGTTCGTTCCCAGAGCTCCTTGTTGCTTATTCTTTCTGGCAATCCATCTGATCTTCAGTAGCGAGCCAGCGTAAGCAGTTGTTGATGAATGTCTGTAGTTTATTGGAAATCCCTTTCGTAACGCGCCAAGTCTCTGAACCATGGAGAAGCACTGACTTGACGTTGGTGTTGAAAATCCGGATCTTGTTCCACATGCTGAGTGGAGTGCAGAAGATCTCCACACTGGTTTCAGGCTAATGAAGGCCTGTCTTGCTTTTCCGATTCTGACTTTGACATCCTCGTCTGTCCCGCCACCTGCAGTTGAAACAGTGCTTCCTAGATAGGTGAAAGAGGCTACTTTCTTAAACTTTCTCCCGTTGATGGTGATCAGAGTTTGTTGTTGTTGTTGTTGGTTGGGTATCTTCATCACCTCTGTCTTCTCTATATTCACCTGAAGTTCTGTCTTCGCTGCCTCGCCGCTTCTGCCAACTTGTTAGTTTTCGCCTATAGGTCTTCAAGTTTGTGTGACATCAGGCACAAGTCATCGGCGAAATCCAGATCTTATTCTGGGATCTTTTCCGCAGTCCAGCCAGTGTATTCCCCTCTTCTTGCTCCTCACTGTTTGCTGCATGACCCAATCGACCACAATCAGGAAGATCATGGGGGATAGTAGACAACCTTGTTTCACTCCTGTCTTCACTTCAAAAGCATCACTGAGCTTCCCATTGTGAATTACTTGGCTGGTATGTGGCGTCTTCATATAGCTGGCTGTCGAATGAGATTGATAAAGGTTTGCGGTACTCCGTAGTAATGAAGCAGTTTCAGAATTACCTCTCGGTCGACGCTGTCAAAGGCCTTCTCAAAGTCGATGAAGTTGAGGTACAGGCACAGTTGACTGCCATTCTATGCTCTGTTCTATGATGATGCGTAGAGTGGCGTTGCAATTTGGTCGGCACATCATTTAAACTTCCTGAAGCCTGCCTGTTCCAGTCGTAGTTTTGAATCCAGTGCATCCTATAGCCTCTCCAGGATGATGCGGCTTAATATTTTGCTTGGGTGGACAGGAGAGTGATTCCTCGCCAGTTCTTGCGAACACTGAAGTCTCCCTTCTTCGGGAGTTTGACAAGGTAACCCTTCTTCCAATCGCCAGGTACCTTCTCTTCCTTCCACACCTTCTGCAATAGTGGTGTGGTGTGAGCATATCCGCTGTTGTCTCTGCGTCTGTTTTCAGTGCTTCTGGCGGGATCCCATCTGGTCCTGCTGCTTTCCCACATTTCAGTAGCTTTATGACATTCAGGACTTCCATTTTTGTTCGGGGATTCATGTTCACTTATAGTTCTGTGGCTAGGTTGCAGGTGGTATTTCTGGACGAAGTGCAGGTGGTGGTCGATTCAAGAGCTTCTTCAAGTGGTCGGCCCATTGTTTCCTTTGTTTCTCTTCTTTCGTAATTAAATTTCCGTCATCATCTTTTATTGGTTTCGTCTGCGTTGATCTCTTCCCAGATGGCAACCTGGTTATTTGATACAATGTTGTCAGGTCTCTCTTACCTGCAGCCTATTCTGCTTCACTTGCCAGTGTGTCGTGGAAGTGTCTTTTGTCTTTGCGTGCACTCTTCTTCACTTCTTTGTCCAGTGTAGTGTTTTATACATTGTACTCAGTTCCTCTTCTCCTTGTTCATTCTTGCACTGGTTTATCTGCTTCACCATCCTCCTCTCCCTTCTCTTTCAGTTTCCATGTGGATATCCGTCGAGATCCATTCCTTATCTTCTTTCTTCTTCCTTCCTAATACGGCTGTGCAGGTTTCTTTCCACATCTCTTTCAAAGACTTCCAGTGTTCCTCCACACAGGTTTCTTCAGGGGAGTTCCTCGATATCTCCCATTTTGTCTTGATGGCTGACTGACATGAAGACTTCCTTGGTAGTTTCATCCTTCAGTTTCTGTTCTGGGTGTTGAACTTGAACCGTGGTCTATCACCAGCTTCCTTGAAAACTTTTAACTTGATTTGGAAGGTTCCTTGCACTAGGTAGTGAGTGGTCTGAACCTACATCTGCTCCCCTTATTGATCTTGTGTTCAGTAGGCAGCGTCTCCACTTTCGTCACATTGAAATGAAGTCGATCTGGTTTTTAGTGTAGTGTATCCATCTGATGAAGTTCATGTCGCTTTGTGAATATCCTTGTGTTTGCATACACTACCTCCAATCACCAAATCGTTGAATGTTCAGAAGTCTGCAAACAATTCTCCATTCTCATTTATCACCCCACCGAGCACTTCTCGACCCATGGTTAGTTCTCTTCCTGAGTTGTCTGCTCCCAGTTTGACATTCATGTCACCCCACCCATTAGAATTTTGATATTGCCAACTGACGTCTTCTCCAGTGTTGATTGGAGTTGTCTGTAGAATTCTTCCTTCTTCTCTTCATCTGCATTATTTGTAGGTGCATAGTGTAGCATTGTATGATTGTGACCTTCCTTCCTTTTCAGTTGAATCCATCTTGCTGTCATGATCCTGATCCTGCAGGAGGAGATTCGTTCCCACTGCATGAGAAAGAGCCTTCGATGCTGTTGGGAGAGGGACATCATGATAGCCACTCCACGACTCAGTGTGCTCGTGGTTGTCGTCTGGGTGACAATATCGGAGTAGATTATTGATTCTCCAGTTGACAGTTTGGAGAGTCCACTTCCATTCCACCGGCTTTCGCAGATTCCTAGCACTTCAATGCTATACCTTCTCATCTCTTTTGCAATCTGGGCTGCCTTGCTAAGTTCAAACATCGTGCGGACATTCCATGTCCTCATATTTACTTTCGCTTTCATCGAGAGAAGGGAAGATACATCGGCCAATCGGCTTTCTGAAGGATTTCACCAACCGGTGTCATTTCGTCTCTCCGATTCCAGCGCGGAATAAGTTTGTGTTTGTTTTTTATATTTTGTCTGTGCTTTGAAGTTTCTTTAGCGGTTGATTGGTTTTACGGGGTAGGGTTGCTAGCCCTATGCCCAACCTTCCCTCTTTACCCCGGTTTAGGACTGGCTAGTAACTAATGAACTAGTTAACCAGGCTAGGTTAAGCTATTATTATTATTATATGAGTGTATTTTTAGCCGAAACAACTTCCTTGAAATCATCCTTTATCACAAGCTGTAATCACTTTGTTGAGAATTCTCTTAATTTCAATAGGAAGCTGATGTATACGAAATCCAAAAATTAGACGACAGTTATATGCAACAGCGAATGACGCTGAATTGTACCAAAAATTAGCTAAGGTTATTGAAACATTACCCGGTGTTTAAATGGCAAAATCTTCTTAATTTGGTTTGTTGTGGCTAGCAGAGGAATCCAGAACTCTCGTTTCGTCCTATTTGGGACTCATCAGCTGCATGTACTTGCACCCCAGTGACTGATGTTGTTCCCGCTGAGACTCGAACCTCGTACCCATCGAGTCTCGGTGGGAACAACAACCCAACTTGTTGACAGAATTTGACTTGTAATATCCAGCTAACTAAATGTTCTGCACTTTGGCTGAATAGACCATTTTGACCAACCAATGAGGCTTATCTTGAATAACAATGATGAAAGTGGGTAGCAGTGTAATCAGGGATATGCGATTTTGCTAAGTGGGAGTCGTCAGCTGTTTACCAGTAAAAATAATGAGACCTAATCTGGGAATGTCCTTTCGATTATCTGGAACTGGCTGACACCGACTTATGTTTTTCAATGTGAGCTGGAAAAGATCAATATACAGAAAGGTTTTCACATCCCATTTCTGAGTATTTAGTTTGTTCTTTGACAAACTTTATATGAAGTCAGAGATTTTTTCCGATTTATTAATTGAAGACCACATACACAGGCATATATATACACAGAACTGTTATATGAAGCATGGAAATTTTCGATTGATTGAATATTACCAGTGTTTAGCGATTATGATAGTTGTGAGGTTAGCTTCAGGTCACAAAAAATTTCAAGGCCGAAAATTCGCTGATCTCATTGGATTATTTTATTGACCAATTATCATCTAAGATTTTCAACATGCCTAAGGACAGAAAAATACGAAGAGTAGAAAGTAAGCACTAACCAATCACAGGTAATTGCATAAGTCAACATTATCCATTTATTTATTCTGTACTCAATTCAATTAGTGATAAAGTTGGCCTTAATTGTAGTTTGACCAGTAGTTATACTTTTAATGAAACGATCGAAAATTTTAATATGCTAAATACTTATTGCGAATGAGCTAACGAAATACGAAACATGTCACAAGAATCACATGGTAAAATACACTTTTTGCATTACTATGGTAATATAAGGTCATTTATTTGCGTACATGTCACACTTCTTTATTCGAGCGAGAGAGAAAAGTGTTCACTTTTGTGGAATAGTTGTTTCATGTGCACGTGAAAACTTGAAATTACAAAGTTGTTGGTACTTAATTTAGAAGATTAAATAGGAAATGTATCCATTATTTGGTGAAAATGATGAGAATGGTAAATTTTCGATGGCTGGTGGTAGATAGGCGATATTCATTCTGACTAGTTATAAGAAGTATA